GTATCCCTGATGATGACACAGCACAACTTATTGCTGAGCTCTGTGACTTCATCCTCACGCACAATTATTTCAAATTTGGTGACAATATATACCTCCAGACCAGTGGCACCGCTATGGGCACCCGCATGGCCCCACAATATGCCAACATTTTTATGGCTGACCTGGAACAATGCTTCCTCAGCTCTCATCCACTCATGCCCCTTCTCTACCTACGCTATATTGATGACATCTTCATCATCTGGACCCATGGGAAGGAGACCCTGGAAGAATTCCACCATGATTTCAACAGCTTCCACCCCACCATCAACCTCAGCCTGGACCAATCTACACGGGAGGTCCACTTCCTAGACACCACCGAACAAATAAGCAATGGCCACATTAACACCAGCCTATACCGAAAACCCACCGACCGCTACGCCTACCTTCATGACTCCAGCTTCCACCCCGGTCACACCACACGATCCATCGTCTACAGCCAAGCACTGAGGTACAATCGCATCTGCTCCAACCCCTCAGACAGAGACCAACACCTACAAGATCTTCACCAAGCATTCTCAAAACTACGATACCCAAACAAGGAAATAAAGAAACAAATCAACAGAGCCAGATGTGTACCCAGAAGCCTCCTGCTACAAGACAGGCCCAGAAGAGAAACCAACAGAACTCCACTGGCCATCACCTACAGTCCTCAGCTTAAACCTCTCCAACGCATCATCAGTAATCTACAACCCATCCTGGACAATGATCCCTCACTTTCACAGACCTTGGGAGGCAGGCCAGTCCTTGCCCACAGACAACCTGCCAACCTTAAGCATATTCTCACCAGCAACCACGCACCACACCATAACAATTCTAACTCAGGAACCAACCCATGCAACAAACCTCAATGCCAACTCTGCCCACATATCTACACCAGCAACACCATCACAGGACCTAACCAGATCAGCTACAACATCACCGGCTCATTCACCTGCACATCCACCAATGTTATATATGCCATCATATGCCAGCAATGCCCCTCTGCTATGTACATTGGCCAAACAGTCACTACGCAAGAGGATAAATGGACACAAGTCAGATATCAGGAATGGCAATATACAAAAACCTGTAGGAGAACACTTCAACCTCCCTGGCCACACAATAGCTGATGTAAAGGTAGCCATCTTACAGCAAAAAAACTTCAGGACCAGACTCCAAAGAGAAACTGCTGAGCTCCAGTTCATTTGCAAATTTGACACCATCAGATCAGGATTAAACAAAGACTGTGAATGGCTATCCAACTACAGAAGCAGTTTCTCCTCCCTTGGTATTCAGACCTAAACTGCTAGCAGAGCACCTCACCCTCCCTGATTGAACTAACCTCGTTATCTCCATACTGATTTATACCTGCCTCTGGAGATTTCCATTACTTGCATCTGAAGAAGTGAGGTTCTTACCCACGAAAGCTTATGCTCCCAATTACTTCTGTTAGTCTCTAAGGTGCCACAGGACCCTCTGTTGCTTTTTCTAGGAAAGTGCACACCATTTGGATACATCAGAGATTAGAGTTAGTGGAATCACATCTTTATACCCTATATAGGGTTAGGTCAAAATGTATTAAGGAGGGTGTAACTGTTCTATTTTTTATAAAGTCTGTTAAAACTGTTGGCACCTCAAACAAGTTACACTCACTTCACATTACTTCTTTGGCCTAGTAAACACTGATTTCACCACTCACTCAGGCCAGGTCTACACTATAAACTTACAACAGTATAACTACATCGCTCAGAGGTATGAAATATCCACAGCCCTGAGCGACGGTTACACTGACCTAACCCCCGCTTTAGACAGCACTATGCTGACAGGAGGGCTTCTCCCATCAAAATATCTACCACTACACCAATGGAAGAAGCTCTCCCATCAGCATAGTAGCATCTTCACTGAAGAGCTACACTGTTTTAGGCATAGACCTGTCCTCAGACTGACTGCTGTTGAGTCTTTCTCCCTTTCTGCCCTTCCAAAATACTCTCCATAGTTCAGAATTGCCCTTTTACTTCCAGTGCTGTGTTTGTCTGAATCTCTTATCATACTTCCACTCTTCAAGACCTCCTTCTACACATGCATCTGAAGAAGTGGGATTTTTACCCATGAAAGCTTATGCCCAAATAAATCTGTTAGTCTTTAAGGTGCCACCGGACTCCTTGTTGTTTTTGTGGATACAGACTAACACAGCTATCCCTCTGAAACCTTCTATACCAGTCTTTAATATGAGTTTGGGAACCACTGGCCTCATCCTCTTACCCCAGTTTAATTTCAACAGAGTTTCTCCTGTTTTACATCAACATGGTGGGAGAACCAAGTCCCATGTTTAGAAAAAATACATTTAACTAATTTCTAACATAGCCTACATCTATACAGTAGCTAGCAAAACTAGAACACATTTGAAAACATTGTTCTTGCATTCCATGACCTCATCCATGCTGATCAGCCCATGCATGCAAGAAATTAATTTAACTGGAATAATGCTTATATCTGTACTTGATTAAAACTCTCTCCTTCCACCTGTAAGCCAAAATTGCATCTAAAAACCTTTTTACTCTAATTCAATACTAACGTGTCCTGTGGTGCATTATATTCTAAAAAAAGAGAACTGTACTAACACAAACACTCCCAATAGTTAGTTAAAACAATATCTAGTTTCAGTGTGTTTTAAGTAGCCTTGGCAGAATTCATTTTTTTTGTAAATTTGATAAATAATATCAATGTTCATTTTAAAGCTTTTTAAACAAATTTTATTGACTCAAATTTTCACAGAATTATGAGGGAAATTATGGGGGACGTTAGACATTTATTTAATGACAGTAGACGTTGAGATTCAAAAAAGTAAACCTTTGTAAACTGTTAAAACATTGTCAACATCATGTCAAAATACATAAAGTAAATATCCTTAAATATACAAGTCATACCTGATTTTACTATTCACTCATTAGTCTATTTGTAACAAGCCTAATTCAGAAGATTAAATCACTGTATTTTTACTCTAATAAGTTCTCAAGCAGCATTTTTCTTATTTTGCCTATCTGTAAATTTCAATTATTATTGATGGAAATATTTTGTCAGTTTGTGCGTGCATGGCGATATCAACATGCATCAATAAAAACTGAATCCTTCCAAGCCTTGTTTTAAAGGAAAGGTCTGAGAAGGGGTGGTCAGTGACCTGATGTTGAAAATGTTCTTTTGAAAGTGAATATTTGTAGTCAGCCATGGGAATAAGAATTCAGAGAACTTCTTCCTGTGACTAACCAGGAAGCATACTGAAGCAAGAAACAGCAGTTATTTCTCCCAGCACATTGGCAGCCAATAAAGCATAAAATTCAGACTTAACGTAAGGTACAATTCAACTGCAGCCAGTGGAGTTGCACTGACTTATACCAGACCTACATTTGGGACACTGCACTTTAATACAACTTTCCAATTATTTTTTTAAAACTCTCAAAAACACAAGTTGTATATCTTTTGACACACATACAGAGTGATTTGGTATTTTATTCTGTAATATGGACAAAATATTTCAAATTAGAATCTGTTCTGATAAACTTGTTTATGAAAAATGGCTGCCACAAATTGACCCACAGGATCTTTTTGAATATTCTGATAAGTTCAATTTCCATTTTATAAATTATATAATTAAACTCAATTTCATTTAAAAACATGTTTCTAAAATAATTTGTTTTCATATTTAGGAGATAAGTGAAAGGCTAGAAAGACAACGTGTACATGTGAACCACTATCTCAATTAAAAATACATGCATAAGACTGGACTGGAATTTTTTTTCTAAATTTTAGATGTCAACCATGCACATATCCCAGATCACATGGAAAACTGATGAAAAGCAATATTGAACAAAAAAGTAAAATTTTAAGACCTTGCTCTAAATACTAAGGAATACTACAAGACTTACTACAGTACATAGAAATTCTTCTAACAAACTGAGATTTTAGGGTTTTATTTATAAAATTAAACAGTATATGAAATGCAATTCTAGTTTACACTAAGTGAAATACACATCCCAGAAAAATCTTTGGAATACAGAGTACTCAGCTCTTTAAAAAAAAAAAAAAGCTCAGTGTTACCATTCTACCCAGAATTTAGAAAAGCAAAGGCACAGAAAACATTGAATTAAGATTGATTAGACAATGCAGCGAACGTATTTTTGGTCCAAAACTGAGTCTTCCCTCTTAGAAATGTTTTTATTCCTCACATTTGCTTTTAACACTTTCAAAAATATCACTATGAAGCCAGATAGCCTTACTAAACACAAATTGCCCCAGACAAATCAATTCCTATTTTTAAATAAAAATATTTTATTGTCCAGCTGAGAACATAAGGACAAACAGAACCAAACACTGTTAACAAAACCACACAAATTATAAAAGCAAATCCCAATTCTACCTCGACAGCAAGGAAGTTAAAAACAGTGGTATATTACACCTGAAGTGGTGTGTAGCAGGCAGATCTGTCTCCCAGCTCCTCCTGCTATTCCCCCCCACCCACCTCCTGCCTTAGTCTGATCCTAGAACATGATTACAAACCTCCCCCCAAAACCTCCTCCCAACCCAGGGGTAATGTATCCCTTTACTTCGCGTGAGCCACTTTGCTGGGCTACAGTAAGAGAATTACAACCTCCTGCCCTAACCCTGACCCCCTAGCTGAACTGAACAGGGGCCCAGACTTGTTGGGCCTGAAGGGGCAATTCTGGGGCCTAACTAAGTTCCTAGGGCTCAAGTGGCCTGTTTCTCACGGGGGGAGGAGGCATAAACACTGGTGAGGCCTGGTCCAAAATCAACGCCAGCCCACCCCCAAGCCATTTTCTGCCTCCCCTGGCCCCCAAAGGGAATGGGGAGCCAAACTCGTCCTGTCACTGCCTCCTGAGAAGGCAGCTTCTCAGAGGGGCTGAGGCAGAGAGACGCACAGAGGGGCCCCCCGCGCCAGAGAACCCCATCGCCCCCCCAGACCTTACCAGATCATAGTCCTCTTCATCATCGCACATGAAATCATCCTCCATGTCAGACATCTTGGCCGGAGGACGGGCGGGGGGAGGGGAAGGAGGGGGCAGGGGGAGGGACGCGAGACCGGAGCCAGCCCCCTTCTCCCACAAGCCTCCGCGGCTTCTGCCCAATGTGACTCCGCTCAGCTAGGAACCGAAATTTCGTTCTCCCCCGCTAGCCCCGCCCCTGGAGACACGGAGCCGAATAGCGGGTGCACCGCGCTTCAGTCCCGAGAGTGGCTGCCGGGCCCTTAGCAACCGGGCAGGGCAGCGAGTTGGGCCTGGTCTTTCTTGGCGCCGCTCCCCTTCCCCCGCGCCGGAAATCCCAAGGGCCCGCAGGGACAGCCTCGCTTCCCCACTAAAAAGCTGTAGGGCCCATGGGGCAGCAGCACTATCCCCCCGCACGCACTAAAGCAGTGGGGTACTAGGCCCTTAAGGGCAGCCTCGCTTCTCCCGTAGATCGGTAGGGCCCATAGGGGCAGCACTCTCCCCCAGTGCAATCAGGAGGAGCCTTAAGAAGAGGACTGCCCCCCTCCATGTACATCAGTGGAGCCCGTAAAGACACTATTTCTCCCCCTGTTGCGTCACTGGATCACATCATTGGGGCCCCTCTTGGGGAGCACCATTTCTCCAGAGACATGAACGGGGCCTTGCAACAGGACTGTGCCAAATGTGCATGAATGTAGGACCATGAAACGCAGAAAAACTTGTTCTGGGGTTGGTTGTACTAGTTCTACATCAATATGTCATTGATTTTACTCCAGTTGCTCCTAATTTACATTGGGGTGAGAGCAGAATGAGACCCAGAGTTCCCGTGCTCTAAACTACCTGCTATACACTGATGAGGCAAATCAACTACCCCAGACTGGGGATTCAAACTACTGCCCTGTTCAAAATATCTGAAAATAATAATAATGCAAAATGCCTTATGTATATTAATGGATTAATCAATAGTAAGAGGTTAATTCCTGTTCTTTTATTTTGTTTGCTTCTTATAGAATCATTGAACTGGAAAGAACATTGAGAGGTCATCTAGTCCTATCCCCTGCACTCAAGGCAGGACTAAGTATTATCTAGACCATCCCTGACAGGTGTTTGTCCAACCTTCTCTTAAAAATCCCCAATGATGGAGATTCCACAACCTCCCTAGGCAATTTATTCCAGTGCTTAACCACTCTGACAGGAAGTTTTTCCTAATATCCAACCTAAACCACCCTTGCTACAATTTAAGCCCATTGCTTCTTGTCCTATCCTCAGAGGTTAAGAAGAACAATTTTTCTCCCTCCTCCTTGTAACAAACTTTTATGTACTTGAAAACTGTTCTCATGTCCCTGCTCAGTCTTCTCTTCTCCAGACTAAACAAACCCAATTTTTTCAAGCTTCTCTCATAGGTAATGTTTTCTAGACCTTTCATCATTTTTGTTGCTCTTCTCTGGACTTTCTCCAATTTGTCTACATCTTTCCTGAAATGTGGCACCCAGAACCGGACACAATACTCCAGTTGAGGCCTAATCAGCGCAGAGTAGAATGGAAGAATTACTTCTCGTGTCTTGCTTACAATACGCCTGCTTATACATCCCAGAATGACGTTTGCTTTTTTTGCAACAGCGTTACACTGACCCCCAGATCCCTTTCTGCAGTACTTCCTAGGCAGTCATTTCCCATTTTGGATGTGTGCAACTGATTGTTCCTTCCTAAGTGGAGTACTTTGCATTTATCCTTATTGAATTTTATCCTATTTACTTCAGACCATTTCTCCACTTTGTCCAGATCATTTTTAATTGTAATCCTATCCTCCAAAGCACTTGCAACCCCTCCCAGCCTGGTATTGTTCACAAACTTTATAAGTGTACTCTCTATGCCATTATCTAAATCATTGATTAAGATATTGAACAGAACTGGACCCAGAACCGATCCCTGCGGGACCCCACTCATTATGCCCTTCCGGCATGACTGTGAACCACTGATAACTACTCCCTGGGAACGATTTTTCAACCAGTTATGCACCCACTTTATAGTAGCTCCATCTAGGTTGTATTTCCCTAGTTTGTTTATGAGAAGGTCATGCGAGACAGTATCAAAAGCCTTACTAAAGTCAAGATATACCACATCTACCGCTTCCCCACATCCACAAGGCTCGTTCCCCTGTCAAAGAAAGCTATTAGGTTGGTTGGACACGATTTGTTCTTGACAAATCCATGCTGACTTTATTTATCACCTTATTATCATCTAGGGCAGTGGCTCCCAAACTTGTTCCACTGCTTGTTTAGAGAAAGCCCCTGGCAGGCCGGGCCAGTTTGTTTATCTGCCGCGTCCGTAGGTTCGGCCAATCGCAGCTCCCAGTGGCCGTGGTTTGCTGCTCCAGGCCAATGGAGCTGCTGGAAGCGGTGGCCAGTATGTCCCTCAGCCCATGCCGCTTCCAGCAGCTCCCATTGGCCTGGAGCGGTGAACCGCGGCCACTGGGAGCCGCGATTGGCCGAACCTGCGGACGCGGCAAGTAAACAAACCGTCCCAGCCTGCCAGGGGACTTTCCCTAAACAAGCAGTGGAACAAGTTTGGGAACCAGTGTTCTAGGTGTTTGCAAATTGATTGCTTAATTATTTGCTCCATTTTCTTTCCGGATACAGAAATTAAACTGACTGGTCTGTAATTCCATGAGTTGTCCTTATTTCCCTTTTTATAGGTGGGCACTATATTTGCCCTTTTCCAGTCTTCTGGAATGTCTCCCGTCTTCCATGACTTTCCAAAGATAATTGCTAATGGCTCAGATATCTCCTCAGTCAGCTCTTTGAGTATTCTAGGATGCATTTCATCAGGCCCTGGTGATTTGAAGACATCTAACTTGTCTAAGGTTATGTCTGCACTACCACGGTAAGTTGACCTACGCTATGCAACTCCAGCTACGTGAATAACATAGCTGGAGTCGACGTACCTTAAGTCGAGTTACCGCGGGGTCTACACCGCGGGGGGTCGATGAGAGAAAATCTCCCGTCGACTTACCTTACTCTTCTCGTTAGGGGTAGAGTACAGGGGTAGACTCGAGAGTGATCTGCAGTCAATTTGGTGGGTCTTTACTAGACCCGTTAAATCGACCGCCGGTGGATCGATCTCAACATGTCGATCCCTGACGTAGTGTAGACCTGCCCTAAGTAATTTTTGACTTGTTATTTCCCTATTTTAGACTCTGATCCTACCTCATTTTCGCTGGCATTCACTATGTTAGACGTCCACTCGCCACCAACCTTCTTGGTGAAAACTGAAACAAAGTCATTAAGCACCTCTGCTATTTCCACATTTTCTGTTATTGTCTTTCCCCCTTCATTCTGTCCTTGGTCTTCCTCTTGCTTCTAATGTATTTGTAGAATGTTTTGTGTTCTTGTTTCCTTTTATGTCCCTAGCTAGTTTGATCTCGTTTTGTGCCTTGGCTTTTCTAATTTTGTCCCTATGTACTTGTGTTATTTGTTTATATTCATCCTTTGTAATTTGACTGAGTTTCCACTTTTTGTAGGACTCTTTTTTGAATTTTAGATCATTGAAGATCTCCTGGTTAAGTCAGGATGGTCTCTTGCCATACTTCCTATCTTTCCTACGCAGTGGGATAGTTTGCTCTTGTGCCCTTAATAACGTCTCTTTGAAAAACTGTGAACTGTCTTCAATTGTTTTTCCCCTTAGACTTGCTTCCCATGGGATTTTATCTACAAACTCCCTGAGTTTGCTAAAGTCTGCCTTCTTGAAATCCATTTTAGTACCCTTCCTAGGCCCTGAGTTCTTTACACTTAATCTAAGCAAAGAATATTTCAGTAAAAGTTTTAAAAATCTATAACTCTTGAACCTTCTAAAGGTCAAGAAAACTGGGCCCTTCAAAAATTAACTTATTCATCAGGCTAGTTTGTTTAGGGGATTTATGTACCATCTAAGCATTCTCTGGGTGCAAGCTCAAAAAAGCAAGTTTGCACAAAATATATTAACCACTCAAGCTAATATGTATTTCCTTTATACAATGCCTTCCATCTGCTTCGGAAGGACCCTTGTGTGCAATATATGTATAACACCACTGATAGGGAGACTCATCTTGGATAGAGGGCACAAGGATGTCAATGCTAATATCAGATTTAAAAGTATGGGAGGAAATTCATGGCATTGGTATAAAATTAGGTTTATGTCAAATAAATCTCATTATGGTTTTGGTCTATCTTTTGATGTTTTTCACTTTTAGTGGTAGTTGATTCCTTCATCCCCTCCACTTGAAAATTCAGCTAGAACCACACACAAAAACATGTGTATTATCCCTCCTTTCCCCTGGATAGCTCTTGGAGGAGTTCTTATTTTTCTTCTTCTTCCTGTCACCCTCTCTAGGCCTCTGCTGCAACTGCCCTCCTCCTGCATAATGCTTTCTTCTACTGACCAGGAAAGCAGACATTCTGCTAGTGCCTTTTCTGCCCCCCTCCACACTATATTCTAAAAGCTAACTTATCGTCCTTTATTGTTATTTGTTTTAATGACAAGAGTGTACTAGATGATTCCTGGAGTGGTAGATCCAGGCAGCACCCTCCAATTCCCATCAGGACAGATAGTTTGAAAACAGCAACTGCTTCCACGTAGCCACCAAGCAATACCAGCAGCCTTGCCATCTAGAATCTATTTCCTCTTTGCGTGAATCAAGAGGAGGGAATAGACCTCAAAATGTATTTGACAAGTTGTAGTACAAAGTCAAACAAAGCACTAAATCACACATTTGTATCACAGTGTAAAGTGTATGATTTTTTGAAAGATTATTGCTGAAATACAGGTTAATATATTGACTTAATATAAGGTGAAGAACATTAGGAAGCATACAAAGGCTGTCCTTTAAAATAAAAGACAAATACCATGCTAATGCATAATAGTGAGAAGAAGGGAAATTGCTTGATATGCCTGTATTGTGTATTTCATTATAATAACCCCATTCCCTTTTATATATGCTCTTCTTTACATAATTACACCTCTTGACCAACAGATCTGTAGTCATATTTCCATATGTTCCAAATCTCATATGTCCAGGGCCTATTGTTCTGGAATTTTTTCTCCCTTAGCTTATACAAAAGGACTTGTGGCATAATTGATAATTATGTTATTT